AGTGCCACAGTGATCAAGACGTCAGACTTTAATCATTAGACTCTAAGTTCCACCCCAGCTCAGGCTATCTCCATCTGATGAGCCCAACCGAGGACGAAACCGGTTATGCGCGTCAGTGTTGGATGGAGCAACACCAAACCACCACTTCGGATACGGTCTTTACGATCATAATGACCGAGGTCTACTTCAAATGAACCGAGGTCTGAATAGAGGTCACATTTCGCAATCCAATCACATAGCGGGTACTACAAATCCAATTTTGAATTCGTTACCTCTGTGCCAATCGTTGCTCATGCATCTTAGTGCCACAGTGATCAAGATGTCAGACTTTAATCATTAGACTCTAAGTTCCACCCCAGCTCAGGCTATCTCCATCTGATGAGTCCAAACGAGGACGAAACTGGTTATGGGGTGTCAGTGTTGGGAGGAGCAACACCGAACCAACTGATGTATTAAACTTCTATATATTTTACTTCCATGTTGCAGTCCTCTACAGTATATGTATGCACTTGAGTTGATGTCTTGGACATGCACATGAGAGATGGATTAATTTACCTTTCACTTTACGAGCGACAGCGCACAGGGGTGACTTTCCGAACTGCCGATGTCAAGCGTCGTTTCCAACTCAGAACCGTCAATCTGTATTCTGGTGACGACCCCCTATATTGCGAAGGTCGTGCGCTATATATCGGCTATGTGAAATAAGCGGCCGACCGTAGGTGAACGGAAGTACACAGAACACAATACCAATAGGGCAAAGAGCCGAAGGACATCTACTTCAATGTTGTTGAGTCTACCTCTTTCTTTCGCATTCACTACCAATGTTTAACGATTGTTAAGCGGCATACGGACGATTATGGGGCACTAGCAGACATCTTTGACCTCGAATGTGAAAGTTTCAGGTTACGCTCTTTGACGGATGACCGGTTTAAATGCTGCGTATTTGTCAGGGCTTTGCAGTCACTGCACGACACGAAAATCCGCACTCGGCTCATTGCTAACTTGAATCAAGGTCCGTAGTTGACATTGAAGTTTCTCTTAGGTTGATCACTGGAACGCACCGCCATGATTGAGCACTCCTCCACCATTGCCGATAGTTCATGTTATACAAGAGGCAAGGAAGGCTGGCTCGAACTAGCCCTTCAACAGAGCGCCAAACAAGCCGCCTACACCCCGTTATCACATGGGGAATGGCATTTTGCACGCCACTGTGCATTTAAGCGTCACCAGGGAGATATTTGCCCATTGTCCCGGTCAAGAAACTTGAGGCAATCCTACCGAAGGAAGAATCTCCGGAAGCCTGACGCAGTATCTCTATCGGTGATTGTCGCTTTACACTGGGATTCTAGACCACGCCGCCGATTAAGCAATGTGCGTCATAAACGGGACCTCAATTAGATTGCAGATTGATGCGGCCTCAGACATAAAGATCATTTTCAATAACATTTGGACTCACATAAAGAAGCCGAAGGGGGTTGAATCCAGTGAAGTCGCAGCACAATGCATCCGATGGAGTGCTGAGGCTGGTCGGAGAGTAACCTGCGAAATTGCTTTCAACAGAGTGGATGAGAACGGAACATGTCAATTGTCGTATTAACCAAATTTGAACCTTCTTGGGCTTGACTGGATAGAAAAGCTACAACTGCTTGAGGTTCCGGTGAATCAAATTTACAGTGGAGTCCAAACCGATCCAGTCCATGCATCATTGTCGATTGAAGCTATGAGGATAAAACTGAAGCAGAAGTTTGCCTCCTTGTTTGAAGATGGTCTTGCTCACGTCACTAAATTCATAGCAAAGTAATGGAACGAACCCAGTTCTCAGGGCAAAAAGACCTTTACCATATGCATCCATAGCAGCGGTTGATCAAGAGTTCGACCGACTGGAGCGCACCGGAGTTATCACACCACTGAACTATTCTTAATGGGCTACATCGATCGTTACTGTGAGACATCCGAACGGTAAAGTGCGTGTTTGCGCCGATTTTTCAACTGGCTTGGATACCGCACTGGATGACCATCAGTACTCCCTTCCAATACCAGGGGATATTTTTGTCAAGCTAAAGTATGGGAAGTGTTTCGCCAAGTTAGATCTGTTCGATGCTTACCTCCAGGTCATTGTTGATGAAGGCTCGAGTGAATCGCGGCTTATATCAATAAAACCGCCTCACTTTTGGGGTGAAAACAACACTAACCATCTTCCGGCAGCTGATGGACACTATGATCACGGGAGTTTCTGGAGCAACTGCAGCTAGTTTGTTTATTTACGACGCTCCTCATTCAAGACCGCCGGTACGTTTTCAGCTGGCTTCGGGAGCCAATGTTAACATAGTGCCTTAAAAGTATTAACTTGGAGCAGCATGCCACAAGACGCAAACCTGCCTCAAAATTTGGGACGGTTTAATTTTACAACCATAAATTCGAAGACTCGGTCAGAATACTTGCTTCAGTTACTCATTGTGTCCGCAAACTTTACGTCCATCCTAGGCATTGACTTTACCCAGCTTTTGGGTTTTGTCTCTTTTGGTCATGGTCGTTTTGTTCATTCTCGCGAAGCCAACACAGATGTCATTGACCATTACACTTGAGTAATTGTCGTCGTGGAGAAGTTCGAAGGGATACTGATCTATCATTGTACGGGTCCGGGTGACCAGGAGCCTTGCCAGCTAGAAAAGTGCTTATTGCATTGCGCGAAAGGTCCTCAGATGAATTACAGCGCCTGATTTGTTTGGGTGCTTGCAACCACATCCCGTTAGCACAGGCGGACATCGGTACTGCTGCCGGGACGATGTCGTATAGCTTGCCCAAGTTTATATACATGTCATTTGGCCTTTCGAATATAGCACAAACTTTCGATGTTTGATCGCCAATGGATATCATGACAACATTCTAATCGCGAGATCCTCATTCGAAGAGCACTTCTGCCGTACGCTCTTTAACCGTTTATCCCAACACACCCAGATGACGACATATCATGTTTGAGCGAATTCACTGCCAGCTGAAGGCAGAGCTCCGAGCTCACGTAGACCCTTCATTGAGCAAAACCGTTCCCCTTATCCTCTTAAGCTTAAGCAATACCATCAAGGCCGATTTAGCCGCAACTGCAGCGTAGCTAGTCTGTGGTTACACAGGTGGTAGTCCAAGCACCGTCCACTTCCTCCTTAGACTACAACAGTTGTACTGATCGGTTAGCCCACCAGACGCATGAGCTGCATTTAAAACTGTCGACTTGGTCTCGCATACTACTCTTCTTGGGCGGTGTTCGACAGCTTTTGCAGTCGGCGCACAACGGGCTCTTAAGAGTAATCTATCTTACAACTAAGATATTCACAATCGACCTCGGTGGCCGGCACGAACGTTTCATCCCCAAACTCTTAAAGCCAGTCTCCATTGTCAAGCGTTGCGTCGTGCAACATTACACCTACCTGCACCACGTTTCAACCACCCAGCGTCATCGAATCAGATGTCGATCTGTCTATGCAGGCATCAGCCGTCCCAACGTCATCTTCTACACTTTACCTGCCGCCTTCCACATCCGACTACCTTGTTCGGGTGTTTCGTAAGCTCGTTCGCTGTTTCGACTGTATATAGTGTATCTACTTTTAGGTCGGTAAATATGGTGTATCTTCGCCACGTTTTCCGTCAAATAACCATTTGAGAACAAAAAATCCGAACCACATGAAAACCTTATAATATCCAATAACCAAGAAATGCTTAAACAGTGTTGCACGCTGGTCACTTGTTCGTTCTTTTTAACGGTTTTTCCGCTTGCGTTGTTTTTTCTCCCCTACATGCTCTCACTCTTCCATCTGACTGAGTGACTCCTACGAGCGACACGTTTGAGAATCCCCGCAGTCACCGAGGAATCAAACGCGAAAGCTGGACGTTGATTGTGGGGCGAGGATCTTTTGACGCTAGTCCGGGTCCAACGAGGGGAGAGGCCACTCCTAAGTGCACCGTTTAACTGTAGCGAAGGTTGAGGTCCTGTCGACCTTATTCTTAACAAGCCACTTTTTTGCAGCTTGACAAGCCCGTTCCAAAATTTTGACGTGATTCCCCTCTTCCCACAGTTAGTCAAACAATAAATTGCAAACATCACAGCGAACTCCGATTTACGACGAACCCGCTTTGGATATGAAGATTTTCGCACATTTTCACTAGGCACCCTTTAGCTTTAGGAACCTTGATACATCATTTTGGATATCGGAGGCTTCTTTTACTCAACCTTCTAGGAAGGGAGCTCTGTTGCACCAAACAAGATATTTCTTGTCTTTTATACACAATTTTAATACTGATCATTTGTGCAACATTCGTTCTTGTTTTACTACCCCTTAACCTACGGCCGTGTTTGCTTGCATTCGGCTCGACACATTTCTTCTTGATGAGTTACGTCACTGACGTTCAGTCCTGCTTGATTCATTCGCCTTCATCCGTTCGTAGGCCATAACGAGTACAGTCCACTGTGTCTGACCCTCATGCGTTCTGTTAATTGCCTCCGATTGCGCGCCCAGCATCAGACTAGTATTTACTAGTCTGGCATTTTGTTTAGTTTCATCGAAATTTCGGATCACATTGTCGATTCCTCCATCAACAATTTGTTCAACTAGGATCCCGTACGTAAATCGCTAGTCGTACTAGTTCTAATGGCATTTCAACCTTCCTTTTAATGTCATTAACCCCGCTTACACTGCTTGCAATACACTTGTACAGTGTCTGAATGCTATCGGTACACCCTGAATATGCAGTGTTTTCTCTGCACTCCTTTGCCTATTACGCCTAATGCTGCCGCAACTCCACTCTTATTTTTCAGCCCATTGGAATTATCCCATCTCTTACTCGGGCGATTGCGTATTACATGTCTCGAGAGCTCGGCGTTAGGCGTTAGTCTTTGTTTCCAACTATTGATTTTGAAGTTAAGATGTTCGAGTGCCTTATCGGTCTGATAACGACCATCTTGAACCTATACAACTGAAATACAAGGATCCTGTTGCTCAGTTCAGGGAATGGTTTCAAGAAGCTGTAGACTCTGGTGTTTTAGAAGCCAACGCTATGGCTCTTGCTACGAGCACTCTGTGAGTTCAGTGGCGAATCATACTGTTTAACCCGGTATTTCTCTTTCAGTCCCCATACAGCACGATAATGAGTTTTATTGTTTTAACAATTTTAAATCCTTTTCTCCATAATCCAGCTGACTTATTTAGGTGCGTCGTCTCATCGATTTTTGTTCGACCATCACTGGGGCTGCATGCTAACATTGCACGAGATCTGCTTATCAAGACCAGTAGCTGATAAAAGTAAACCGTATTGTGTGTACCGAATATGGGGGCGCGATGGAGCAAAGCCGCTTGTCCGGAGCAGCAAAGTGCGATAAAACGCAGCCCTATGCAGCGACCAGTAGATGATGTGGGCGTCTATCTTCGGTTGCAAATCATTTAAGCAACTTACCTGCCTAGATTTAAACCAACTCGGTGACTTGTTTTATTGACACAAGTAATAAGCACACGCATTACAAATCTGTGGAGTTATCGCAAACACATGTCTTACTTGTTGCTGCATGCACCAGCATTTTTGGGTGTCGCTCGTTTTTTTTTCAGAGGTTCACTGTTTCGACAAACGACTTTCATTCACCTTGCTTCTCGTAAGTGCTTGCAAACAGCTTGTCAACTTGCGCCCATCAGATCACTGCTGAAAACTATCGTGCAATATATATATTATATATATATATATATTCAGTTATGACAGCCTGTCTAGTGACTTTGGTCCCAATTACAGCTTGGAAAGCAAAAGTAAAGAAAGGCTGATAGCATGCAAGATGGGTTGGGAAGAACGATGTGCTATCTGACAAATAATACAATATACGAAGGAACTGCAAGCGCTATTCGTCTGAAACTGAGCCCCAAGTGGTTGGCGGCATCCGGTTTCGGATTTGCCTGTCACTTTGGCCAGCCACAGGACGCCTGCGCTTACAGAGGGACCATGGGTGGCTTGAGCTGCACCACACGCAGCTCCATTCACACACACACACACGCACACACAACACACCATATCCAGTGTAAACCCAAAGGAATAAGACCGGGAGGCATGTGGATGGAAGCCGAGTTTCGTCAACGGAGCCGGCCCACACTGCTTCACAGGTAAACACAAGCACGCTGTATTTGGGGAATCAACCACACACAAGGCGGTGGCTGGACCGTGATTCGCTCCACACTAAGTGCATGGAACCACTCTTTGATCCTAACACGGCCACATAGACCGTCCACCCAGTCCCCTCCAGCAACGGCCAAGTGTCTCCTGGAGCCAGTATGGACGAGGTAGTGGGTAATAGACAGGTAGACACTTTGTCATCATGCACATCAAGCGCAGCCATACCGGGGATGTCAAACAACAGCCAATCACTTGAAATGACATTATCAAATACAATATCTATGTTAAAGCATATGGCTGTGCCGACATAACTCTTCGCTAAATTAGTATATGAGGTAAGTTGGTTAGAACGAATCCGCAAGATATATATATATATATATATATAGATATATATATATATATATATATATATATATATATATATATATATATATATATATATATATATATATATATATGGGGTTTACTCCACCGACATCGAACGCATGCTGCCCTCGCACATGCGGTTGCGAGTGCCTGATTCAGGTAGGCCTTGTGAGCCACGGGCGTGGTCACTTATGAGCAGCATCGAAATGACGACGTGTCCTGCTGAGAACGTAAACAGAACCGGCACAGCGTTGGTAGAATCGCTGCATTCGATTGACTAACCGCGTGCTTGCGTTCTGAGTTTATTTATTTCTGATGGTTGCTTTGCTATGGAGTCTCAGTTCACCTCATCTTAACCTTTGCCTTAGCTTGTACAAGTTGCTTAAGCTAGTTGTGCTTAATTTCGTTAACATTTTCGCGTTTGTTGCACTTTCTAAAATTATATTTTCTGACATCGCGTACTTATCGTGGATTTGTTGCTAGCCACTATATTACATATGCTCATTTAGCTTATATTTCTGTCTACATTTCATGATACTTTATTCGATGCATATTATTTTTTAGTCACATTTCAAGTGCTTGACTGTTGTTTGACATCCCCAGTATGGCTGCGCTTGATGTGCACGATGACAAAGTGCCTACCTGTCTATTACCCACTACCTCGTCCATACTGGCTCCAGGAGACAGTTGGTCGTTGCTGGAGGGGACGGGGTGCATGGTACTTGTGGTCGTGTTAGGCTCGAAGAGTGGTTTCATGCACTCAGTGTGGAGCAGACTACGGTCCAACCACCGTCTTCTGTGCGCTTGGTTTCCAAATACAGGGTGCTTATGTTTGCCTGTGAAGGAATGTTGGTCGGCTCCGTTGATGAAACGTGGCTCTCATCCACATGTCTCCCGGTCTTCTTCCTTCGGGTTTGCACTTCATATGGATGTGTTGGTGGAGCTGTGGGTGGTGCAACGCAAGCCACGTATAGTCCCTGTGAAGGCGCAGGTGTCCTGTGGCTGTCCCCGTGGAGGCCCCAGTGACAAGCCAATGCGGTACCGGATGCTGCCAGCCGGGCATATGTATATATATATATATATATATATATATATATATATATATATATTCAAAACGACCGATATTGCAATAGGCATAGTGCTTCAGCGTATGAAACTACAACAAACAAATGAAGGGATAAGTAAAATTCCTGCATTCATAGGAATAGAGGTTCACAACAGGTTCGCCATTGTGCGCGGTTTCTTGCCATATCCGAGAGTGTTTCTAGTCATAGGTGTACCGGATCCTTCAAACTCCAACCAAGGAGCCCAGTGCGCCTGGCCACAGCTAACTTTGACGTTAGCTCCTTCATACTCCTGGCCCGAGTCATACGTTGGCCACCCTGCGTTCGTTTCCAGCCGACGTCTGCGCGCGCTAAGTGGGCACGATGAGGAAACCGATGAGTAGGCATGCGAAGAACATACCCAAGTCACTGAAGTCTGCGCATTCAAATCATGCTGCTCAGTGGCCGCCGAAGTCTGCCTGATATGAAGATCCTCCGTCGAACATCTTCATTCCTATTGTGATGTTGCTATCGTACACCAGCAATTCTCCGAAGGCAGCGGTGATCAAAAACAGACAGCCTCTCAACATCCTGTGCGCGAACAGGCCAAGTTTCGCAGCCATAGAGCAGTACCGCTCTTTCTGTGTCATTGTAAACTCGGCCCTTCAGATATTGATTCATATCTCCTCGACGCTAGAGATGGCGGAGATTCGCAAAAGCAACCCGACTCTAGGAAACGCGCAAAGAAACCTCATCCGTTAAGCCATTAGCGCTGAGGCAGCTTCTGAGCTAAACGAACTCGTCCACCGCTTCCAATGAATGACCTAGATAGGTAAGGGTAGGAGTAGCATATAGCCAGTCATACAGGAAAACCTTACACTTCGATGGTACGAAGATCATTCCAAACTGGAAGACAGACCTCCAACCTACGCAGGACATTTTGTGCGACCTGTGAGGAATCGCAGGTTACGGCGATGTCATCTGCATACTCCAAATCCCGAAGTCGGTCCCCCGGAAACAGCTCGACGCTGCTGAATTCGCAATTCTCCAAAGCACTCTCCAAGATTTCGTCGATAGCGAGAGTGAGCAAGATAGGGGATGCTGGGCAACCCTGTCTCCCGCCCATTGGAATACCAAAGGGGGGCGAAACTCCGCAGTACACCCGCACTCGGCCCGAGGTTTGAGAGTAAATGGCTTGAAGTAAGGTGACATACTTCTCGGGCACTTCCATTCTCAGAAGACAACTCTAGAGAGCAGCTCCGTCGACTGAGTCACGTGGCTCATGTGTTTAAGAACACAACCATCGTTGACTGGCCAAATGTTTGACGACGCTTGACTATTTGGCGAGGTGTAAATATGTGATCGATGCAACTCCAATTTGAGCAGGACCCGATTTGCTCTTCACGTATGTTCTGTTCGCGTACCAGGCTGAGCCTCCTTAAAAGCAGATTTGCGGACACCTTGGAAGTAACACAGATGAGACTACTCCCTCTGTAGTTTGTAATTAGGTAGCTGACATATAGCGCGGCTCAACCGCAACCTCAGAAGTTTCAGAGCAGCTCATTGTCTTTCTTGACTTTATTATTTGATATCTTTGCAAGCACCTTCAACCTCAGAGGGGTTTTGATTGGTTCGTACCTTATTGGTTATGATCTGTTAACTATCTATCTATGGTGTGCTGTGTCAGTCGCGCTGAGCTCGTGATCTGTAGTCATGATTCCGTTTGTCTCTTTATCTCCTCAGCTTGAAATTTTATCCATCGTTATATGTAGCTTCTCTCGCGTTTTTTTGAGCTATTCTGCACAAGTATTACGTTTTACAGCCATTTGCCTTGCAGATGATATCTTAATAATGCACTTGTAACAATTCATAATTCGGCCTGTTCCAAAGCTCCTATTTCGTATGATATAAGCCCCCCAAATTCTTGATATTCCTTGTTTCATTTCCAGGTCTGGAATTCCCAGTGTCCGGTATGTTTTACTCAAAGAATTGGACGAACGTGGATTTCAGTTTTTCACCAACTATGACAGTCGCAAAGCGATTGAGCTGGTACTGGTTTCTTCTCTCTCACTGGCATTTTAGGAAGTTAACCCCCATGCTAGCTTACTTTTCTACTGGGAACCACTTAAACGCCAAGTGAGCTCCGTTTTACTGATCTCTTTCCTCTTTAATTTTATTGGCCTGCTTACTTTTTCACTACATCCTCCATTCATCTACGTCCATTCTCTTTTCTATCGTCGGTTCGTTGCCTTCACTTGACACTTGATTTTATTGGGTTGAAGTCCACGGATTTTGACCATGCTTCAGCAATGTGTTGCCCCCGTGTATTGAATCTTTATTGTCTCCTCTCTTTCTCATTGTAATTGAAGTTGCACAGCGTACAGGTTTGTACTCCACCTATAGGCCGTATTTAACTATTTTGGCCAGTGTTTGCTCAGATGTTGAATTCAATTCAGATATAAGGCTTTCTATGGACTGCTACTTGTGCGCCACTATCCGATAGGTTGTGTGCTTTCTTCGTCCGCGTTAGGAGACAATGCCGTATGATTGCGCTTTTTGCTGGCCACTTGATCCCGAACGTTCACGTTATAGTGATCGGTCCGTTCTTCTAGAGACCTTCACTAAAAATTCAATTCCTTGTCACTGAGGGTAGTCTACAAGCACACAGCCCGTGGATTATTTCCCGTTTCCGAGTACATCTCGACGTTTGTCACCTCTTGCACACTGTCTGCTGCATTGATCTGTTTCGCTTGTGCATATTTGCACAGCCCCTATACATTAAGTAGGCCAACTGCACCGCACCTTGTCATTACGAATTTCAGTACTACTTAATTAACGTAATTGCTTTGCTTCTCTGCTGAGTGACCGTTGCAGCGATGCGATCTTTTTTCGGATTACGGCGGTACTTTTCGGTAATCAACCCAGACGTTTGTGTAACTCGGCAAACCAATAAGCTGATAGAATGGTACTACTTGACAATTAGCCATCAGTCATCTTCCCTGATATTTCAAGTCGTCCAATTCGATAATTTGGTTGCGCCCTCAACTATACTTTGTTATTCTGCTCAATATGCAGACTTCAGTACGAATTCTTGTTTTCAGCAAACGCACGCATCGAACAGTGAAATAAAAATAGATGGAGTAGCAATGGCCACATTGTGCACCTATCAAGCTAGCACCCTTCATCCGGTCGGGCAATCCCCAGCGTCTAACCTTAATGTGTGCCATTTAGACGTGTCTGCTTGATCCTGTGAGAGAATTACCGTCATAGAATCTGTCACGGCGTAAAATACATTCTTCTCCTTATTTACGTTGAATGAAAGTAGTCTACATATAGCAGTTGGCATGCGCGGAAGAAAGACGAAGATTTTCCTCCTCAGTACCATTAACAATAACCGACATGCATTAATATAGCTAACAATGAGGGGATTAAGGGTGAAACGTTCATAGCAAGATTTGGTTGCGACGATTGTCTTTCAAACGCTGTATAGACATGGCGGTAAATGCATTGAACAAATGGATCATAAACCGCTAGGTAATCCGGAACCAATTTGGACACACACAACTAACAGCATTCACCTGGTCAGGACCTCGTCCAAGCTCAAATGCGGATTGATTCTTGGCGATATACTCCCTTAATTATGTCAGGGAATGAACACTTCTTGAGATTCGCTGCACAATAAACCGACTTTTTCAATATTCGCCAAGCTTATCAGGGAAGCATGAACAAAGAACCAATAAAGGATGTTCAACCGATGGGCATGATAGAGAATGGGTTCACCTCAGCTTCTCAACTACGATTTGTGCATCGGGGTGCGGTAGATCCAGTTTCCATGACACAACCATCAGAGATGGCTGTTGAACTGTTCGCTGAGCTTGGCAATTTTGTTGCAAACGTTTCGTCACCAATCGAGGTGACATCATCAGTGCGTAGTGGAGTGGCGTGCAATAGCGTAGAGTAGCGTAGAGGAGCCTCGGTGAGGCTCCTCTACGCTCCTCTACGCTATTGCACGCCACTCCACTACGCACTGATGATGTCACCTCGATTGGTGACGAAACGTTTGCAACAAAATTACCAAGCTCAGCGAACAGTTCAACAGCCATCTGAACAACCTGAGCTACCAGCCTTTAATTATATAGCCAACCATCAGAGAAATAACAGTAAGGCCACTAACAACAAGTCGATAGGGATGAGCAAGGCTTAACGTAGTCAGGTGGGACAGCTAAGATTCATAAGTGGGGAAACAAATCCGATCGCACCGCTGACTTCGTGACCACACCATAGTTGACAACACTTCCGATCATTATTGTGGCCATTTCTATTGACTCCGAGAAACAATCGGGCTTCATCCTGCAATTTGCGCTTGAAGTGAAACTGTGATATTTTGTTCCGCCTGCTTGCTCATCCGGAATAAATTTCCACCCTCCGGGTGGTTTCCACACACTGCTTCACGTGGCACTTGTATAAGGATGCTTACGTTAACAAGCTTTAAGCCCTTCTCATGTAAAATCATGGCATGCTAGAGGTCATCCGACGTCGGAGACCCGGCACAAATTTTTCCATTACGCGCCAGCACTCTGATATGGCCAAGTATAAACTCCGTATAACTCACCTGAACATGTAGGCAGTCAGCAAATCAAGTAAACACGAATGGTTAGTGTTTTAACAAGAGAAGGTGGTGTTCATGAATCAGACCCTTCCTATTGTGGATGATTTCTACGAGTTACCAGTGAAACTATAGGAGCAGAAAACTGTCCTAACAGACTGGAGCCGCTCCGTCATAGCCCCAATTTTCATGGGAGGCTCACGATCGGAATGCGGCAACCATAAAGGGATCAGTCTGATCTCCATCGCCTCCAAATCGCTTGCCTCTGTCATCCTTCACAGACTGACCGATACTCCTGATAGTCATATTCGTGAAGAGCAAGCCGGGTTTCGTCGAGGTCGTGGCTGCATTGACCACATTTTCCCTTTGCGTCAGGTGTTGGAACACCGTCAGATATATTGGCGGCCCACTGTTGTCGTCTTTCACGATATCAAAGGTGCATTCGATTCGGTGGGCATGTGTGCACTTTGGGACTGACTACTCAGGAAAGGTGTACCTGAGAAATATGTGAATATTATCCGAGCATTATACGCGCGCACCTCGGTCAGAGTGAGGGCTTACGGCAAGCTATCGTCTCCCTTTAATATCTCCAGCGGTGTGAGACGAGGATGCCCGCTGTCCCCTTTCCTCTTCAACTTCACTATTGACGAAGTCATGCAAATCGCGTTCACAAGACATGACTTAGAAGGTGTGGATCTGCTCCCATGAGAACGACTTCTTATCTTAGAATATACTGACGATATTGCCCTAATCTGTGACAGCTCACAAACGTGCTAAGCGGCACTGAACAGATTAGCACTGGCTGTCTGTCACTTTGGGCCTTGCTCCGCACCCTCGAAATGCAAACCGTTCCTGCAAGCTTAACCTAGACCGCCACCTTCGCTGAACCTTAATGGGGATCAGTTAGAAATCGTACAAAAATTCAACTACCTGGGAAGTTGTGTCAGCTTCCGTGGGATTGAAGATGAGATCACGAACCGTATAGCAAAAACTCGAGCAGCTTTCGCTAACCTTCGCCACTTATGGCGCCAGCGCGACATCACACTCGCCCTGAAGAGTAGAGTGTACAATGCGGCGGTACGTTCGACCCTACCGTACGGTTGTGAATCCTGGCTCCTTAGATCAACAGGCATAAAGAGGCTGGTTAGGTTTGACCACCGGTGCCTTCACAGTTTAGCTCACATCTAGTGGGAACACCGAGTATGCAACGAGTGTGTCCGACGCCTTGTTTACGGCACGCGGAATGGAAATGAACCGCTCAGCACCGTTATTTCACTCACCAGTCTCCGAGGGCTCGGCCACGTATTGTGCATGTCAGTTCACCAGCTCCCTTGACGTGCGTTGTTTGCGCGCCGGGGGTGTGGATGGAAGAAGAGGAGGAGTGGTCAAGCGATGACTTGGTCGAGAGGAATGAAAGTCCTCACTCCGAAGCTGGCCTCGGTTGGAGCGTGTCGGCTCCCTGGTTGGGGTCCGAAGGGCGATGAACACATTTGGCTGGATGCACTGCTGATACGGCTAAGAGCCGACCTCAGTGGCGTTCATGCTGTAAGTTCCTTTGTCCCAACCCACCCATCTTAGCCTCCCCCTCCAACCACAATCTCACTTTTTAGCCTTATATAATTTTGCTTAGTAATTGTTTTTGCTGCGTATTAGCCGACTGGTAGCTTACCGGACCGATGCCCATCCGTTACCGGTAGCTCAGTTGGCATGCAGCTGTTGCATATTTTTCTCCTTTTTCCCCTATGCACTGCGGCACAGTAGCTGAGGTGTTTCCCACCTCTAGCTAACGCGTATAATGATGATGATGATATTGAAAGCATTGTTTAGTGTCTTCTTACATAATGGGTCGTGTACATTTTCTCGCACGAAGTTGTCATGATTGCACAGGAAGCGCATTCTCACAGTGAATCAGCTATACGAATCACTGATGCAACGACTGTGGTTTCTAGTTGTTCTCATGTCTGCGAATAAGGTTGATTTGATAGGAACATCTGAAACATATTACAACACACAGGACTACCTACATAGTAAGTTATCGGGTTTTTAAGGGATGACGTTACCGATGGTCAAGTTGTTGTCTGATGGAGGCGATTATGTTTTTACCATTCGTATTTGCGTTCGGCTATTTCGTGTACTTGATCGAAAGCCTACTTTCAAATTCTCATCTCCAATGCGCGAGACGCTGTCTTTTGAATAGGGAGAGATCATTAGAACAGTGGCGATCATGCTCATGCATGAGTGTGATATGCATTCAGTAACTTCCGTTTTAAAGTTCAAGGTCATTGGAATGAAAATGCTAAGTAATCCGATCAGAAGTGATCGATGACTTATCGGCGGCAGGTCCCTCAACGTGAGTCGTTGTGATAGTGGGCCATGGCAACACACAGAATCTGAACGAGCCGTTTTTGAGCACAAAAGTCCTGGTTCTGGTGGCGGATAGCAATTGCCTCAGCAGCTGCTAGTACACGACATTTTACCGCTCGTGAAAGGCGTCCGGGTGCACGGTAAATGGGTTGAAAAGATTGGCGGGTGTCAGTTTGGTGATTAGAATCAACCAAGTTTGCCAACACGGCGCTCATCACAGTTTTACTTCCACCATTGCGTAGATTAGCTGGACAATGCTCGCGTATTCTCTCAGACAGCCTCCTAGTAGTTCTTCCAATGTATCTTGCTCGACATGAACAAGAGAAGGAATATACACAATAAGAAGTACATGACCAGGGAAGTCTGTCTTTGAGTTGGGGCCTCCCGATTGGTGTTGAAGTAAAACTTAGCCGCAAGCTCGCCGCGTAGAACGTATGACTCATAGCGTCGGATAATCTTCTAAATGTTGCCTGCGCTATACCATTCCCCTTGAACGGCAACGGCAAATAAACCGGTTTCTTTTCTACCGAAGCTGGTTTAGCTCTCAAATGAGAGATAAGTCATCGATCACTTCTGATCGGATTACTTAACTTCCGTTTTATTAAGTCGTTTAAAAATATGTGGTTTTGTTTGCTGTTGAGTTTTGTGCGACATCTTTTCTCACTGGTCATATATTCTTCGGTCAATTGTGGAAGAACTCATTTGTTGAACTTTCCGACGAAAAGATGATCACTATTGAGTTCTGGTTCGGTAAAAATCTCAGTTTACTGCGAAATGTACTTGCATTTACACGATACCTGATAGTGGCTGGTAGGCTATTCTACGCGACAGCGTATCATATAAGAAATAAGCTAGATCGAATAGCTTTCCTGGTTGGAATACGTATTTTGGTTTATGAGATTATGCATGAGCATCAAATTATGTTTCAGTCATCACAGCCATTGAACTTGGAGGTGAGACTTCTGATAACATTCCTAATAATCCAAAGCGGACGATTTACTGAACAAACCTTTAGTGAATCATCTTTGCAGGTTTTCCAGAGATTTTCTATCAACCACCCGTATGTTTTCATAAAGGATGTTGACGGATGCGAGGGTTGAGTATGTAGAAAAGTTCGATTTTGGCAGGGGTTTATGGGGTATGTTGGCCAAATACCGTTTGACGCGGGCTATTTTTGTACTCAGCCTGCATGGTCAAATGAAGTTTGAAGAGTATCGTGTTCCTAGGTCACAGTTAGCTTCACATAGATGCTATTTCGAGATTGATACATGGCTCACGACCAGTGCTCATGCTGTGGTAAACATGCTTCTCAATCATCTTGCTCGACATGAAATCATTGAAAAATTGTATCGGACGACGGACTGCAGTTTATTGCTGAGGAATTCCGCATTTCCGATGAGAAGTAATGGAACAGTGGTTTTATACTGTTAAAAATTCAAAGCTTAACGCATCCCTCCCGTAGGATGGTCATAATGAAAAGTCCAAATATAGAAGAACAGTCAGCAAAATTAGGTTTACACTCGTGGACTCACTGCAGTATACGTAGTGTAAATTGGAAGTCCAATATTACCCATAAGGAGTGACGGCAACTGTGGCGTTGGTAACGTCTCGTATTGCATCTTGATGAACCCATAAGGGAGGTGAGAAAGGTGGAACGTATTCTGGAAGTTGACTGGACGCTTTTGTTTATCCTTGGGTAACGAGTCATGTGAGATGGTGCAGCAAAATGAATGCACGGTCAACTGGGGATTTAAACGCTGCCAGCGTGGGAGCACAGATGACAGATTTCGGTAGGCCATTCCGCCTTTTGCAAACTCGTCCGGAAAAGAAATGCCTGTACTGCTTTGCCAGCTTGAGTTGATGGCCTCTCAAATGACTCTTGTGACTGAGCTCTAGCGATTGACGGCACATGTGATTGGGATTTCTCAAAATCTTATTAGTCAAGATTAGGTCCTCGCGCAACCACCGATATTGTCCGCTGAAGACCCCAAACACTCGAAACCTTCAATTATACGGCAAATTATACAAACCTTTGACATTTTTGGTTGCCCAGCATTGGCTATCTTCAAGGCGCTGGGACCTCTTTTCAGCCATGGCTGCCAGACCTGTATTACGTACTCCCAATGTAGACGTCTGTATGAGCCGAGAACCTATGGAAAAATTGATGGGTCGTATCTTCCGAATGCATGCTTCAAGTGGCCCACGTGTTGGATGCTCCTCCTTGACGCGACTTCATCCTGATTCGATCATCCAAGGTCGGTCTGGATCAAAACTCCCTGCTCCTTTTCGCCAGAAGACGTCTGAAACTTTTGGTTGCCCCATTTGTAGGAGCACACCACCTGGTTCCGTGTCTGCAGGACTCTGCATTCGTCCACATTGAATCCAAATAGATCCTGGATTGACCACGCGTATACCTTATCAATATCGGCTTGTAGTACTGTGATATCATCTGGTGTTTTGATCGCCCTCCACCCTTTGATCTCATTGACATATACCAGGCAGTTCCAGCTTATGAGACGTGTGATATCGTTGATGTACGTCAAAAATAACCGCGGTCCTAGTACCGATCCCTGTGCTACTTCTCATTCAAATGTGATGGGACCTGATAGAGATTCACGCACTGGTACTTCAAAGAGCCAGTGTAAACGAAAGCTTGTGATCCATCCTAGGAGAGGATCACCAATACTAAAGTTCTGAAGTTTGTAGAGCAGGATGTCTATCCGGACGATTCGTGAAGTATCAGGTACTATCAGGGTATTTTGTTACCGTTTCAGCTTCCTTTGTGATGGCCATGACCGACTGAATATGTCACAATATCAGTGTCTTTTGCTATTAAATATTTCGCCTTTTTAGGTGCGAATAGAGGGAACTGTGTCTCGACTACCGGTCGCTGAGAGTGAAGCTTATTTCTCTCAAAGACCTAGAGTGAGTCAGTTGTCGGCTGCGGTCAGTCCACAAAGTCGCGTGATTCCGAGTCGAGAGGTGAGTCCACTGTTTCAAGTGCATGTTTCTAAAAACCTCATGAAAGGAAGTATTAGTTTCCGATCTAGGAATTAATAGCTCATGTCTCATCTTGATGATGCGCTGACGGTTGGCCAAAGCGGTCCCAGCGGGACCTTGAGTCGTGTCTCTGCAGGATCTCCTTATTCCGCTAACGTTCTGCGGCATCTTGCCCCTCTAAAACACCTCTTTTAACAAATTGTCCTTGCTTCTTTCTTCTAATCTCTGTGGCACTTGTCCTTGATACACGTTATTACTGTTGCCATTCGATGAGTCTGCGGGCTAAAGGACAGTTTCAGTGTCTGAGAAATATGTTCTTCCAAAAATGTAGATTCCGTTTTTATACAGAAATAACACCTTTTCAGCTGTTAGTGACATTTTGGTTACTACCTCTCGCTTTTATTATCAAGCTAACATGATCCGCAAACAGCGTTTTCACTACCCTTACGAGGTTACGTAATGCGTGTGTATTACCCGCTGTCCGGTTGGATTGTGGGATGTAGTGGTTCAAGTGTTTTGGCCTGCAACCTCTGTACCACTGCTGCGTAGATCTGAGTGACCCTGCACCATCTTAACGCGCGTGTAACCGCTCACTGTGTTCTGGTAGCGTGGTACTAGCACAAAATAATAATTTCTTGATGTTACCATTTAACTGGGGTTACAACACACAACCTCAGTTTTCCTTCTTTCTTCATTGCAACTTGGACTCCAGCACGAGCTTACCTATTCTAATCTGTGCGTACCAACACGATGAGACCGAAACTTGAGGTTGAATGACGGAGTTTCCCTCAGTAGTCCGTTGGGCTGCTTCGGACAATACTGACCTATTGACTTGTGTCCCTTCATAACAGATAAGTCGTCTGACATAGAAACGGTAACCACAGTTTTACCATTCCATCACGGTATTTTGAACTGAATGTGGTGACCTTTCTCCGGGACTACGTCTTCGAGGAGGCTAGGTCACGGGTTATCAGTCAGCTGGAATACAGTGGAGCGGAAGCACGACATTTTGTCGATGGTGGTGTGAGACTGCTGTTGCTCGACGCCTCCTGCCGTCCACCTGAAGAGAGGTCAGCGGTGTTTACTAAGCTGCATAGCTGCAAGTTGAGAGTATGATCAAGCTGGAGCGCACGCCATAGTACAATATTGTGCTCTCAATGTTGGTGACCAGCCGCCGCTCTTGCGCTTCTGGATAAGCTGCTGCATAGTGAGACACATCGACATGGTCTTCGCATTTCTATATGACAAACCTCTTTTGCGTGTTCCCGCCATCACCGCACTTGTTCTTGTGATGGTTGGTCAGCTCTCCTGTTAGTTACTTTATCTCTGGTGTTCACATTACTGAAGGTTATTGATTGCACCGGTTAGTTCTTTACCACTTTCCAAGAACCTCGCTCATTCGTGGCGTCAGAGGGATAGCATATCATTAATCTATGGTGGGTTTAACCGTGCATTGCATACAGTGCACATGGATAGATTGGGGACAAGGTTATTTGGGATTGGATATGTTATACTACTGGTTCTCGGCTGTCGGGATCCTTGCACTAACACTGCCGTTGTTCGTACACTTGCTGTCCAATCCTGAGGCACATCAACTGTGACGCTTTGTCGCCTTTCAGTGTTAAACCGTATATGCTGACTGATCTCCTTCAAATGTCTGTCAACTTCCTTCCGTAATAGGTATTTTTCCGAAACACCGGTTCTGTTGAAATATCTTGTTGTTCATGTGATGCCTTGACCCATAAATGTGAAAATGGTTTTCCCATACTCGTAAAGCTGTCGTTTTTCATTTGGTTTACTAATTCGGGCAAGCAGCGTTTTCAAACTCTTTTCACTTAACATTACCCAATACCGTCAACTCTCAATTCATCAACTTCTTTTGATTGTTATCTCTTCCCTTCCTTTTTTCCCCTTTCAATTTACTTTTTGTCCGTAGTTATCTTTTCTCCGCCTCTTTCATTCTTTAGCCATCCCGAATTGCCTTTAATCAATATTGGATATTACTCTTAGTGGTCGTAAGGAAACCACCTCGATGCTTAGACTGTGGTTAACAATCTGCTCCATTCCTTATCCAGAAGTGAATCTTCGTTTTCGCTCCGGCTTTGCTTCGCTTAATTATGTACCCTTAGTGAGTTTAGTTTATACTCAGCGATGTGATGCAGTACGCTTAAACTCCATTTGACCGGGCTGAGAATCATGGTATTCATGCATTTTAAGGGGTGCACTATTATGGGCATACACGTGTTTCGTAGTTGTCAGCCGCGAATCACCTTTCCCTCATTTATTGTTGTTTATCTCGACTCCATCTCGCATCCAACTGTGTGGTTGCCTACTCCATTCAAGGTCAGTTGTGGCCAGATGAAATGCATCATAGTTGACTACTCACTCTAATTCAGATTGAAAAGTTTCGCTATTAAGGTTCTTTCTGACTTTGTACACCTACTCACACTTCGCTTCACCTCAAGCATCCGCCTCCCCTTTGAGCATATGGCTGATTGCTACCAAGCCTTCGCAGTCACCATGTTGACGCGACATAACTCTAGCCCCGAAGGGTCGAGTCGACAAGACAGCCATTTGTTAAACCCGACATACCTAAAGAAACTAGTTACATGCGATCGCCGGTTCCTTTGCATCTCATCTGACATATGGTGATAACACCGCGTGAGCAATGGGCGTGTAGGGGATCATGTATTTGGAGCAAAGCATGCGCTTAGCACCCGTTATATCACACACTAGGCTCCGGTGGCTGGGTCACGTTTTGCACACGCGAGTACACCGAATCCAGCGATATGCGTAGACAACGCGACCGAGATTTATGTAGAAGAATATAGGAGATAAGCCGCTCCCTAAATCTAGAGTAGGCACGTCAACTTCTTGGCCCTGTATGAAGGATGCTGTAAGGGATTTATTTGTTCACCTTATAACCTGCTCTAAATGTTCATATTCATCAGCATTGAGGTTGTGGTCGGAGGAACAGGCTTGGTGGAATGCAGAGAGGGCGAAATATCTCACAACTAAAACGCCATTCAGGTCGCCTCCTAACCGTCTCCAAATGTCCTTCGAGCCTCAGCTCGTGAGTTGAGGGACACAAACTGGGATCAACTTCGAAATGTGAGTTTTCCATCCTCTAGACCTGGCATGTCAAAACGACGATTCCTCAAAGGCTGCATGGATCATATTTGTAGTCATGAGGACAGCACGCCGCAGCTGGTTACGGCCTCTCTCTCTCTCTCTCTCTCTCTCTCTATATATATATATATATATATATATATATATATATATATATGGGTGGCTTTCGCTGCACCACCCACATTTCCGTCCACATATGCCATTTGCAGTGTAAACCCGAAGGGATAACATCGTGAGGCATGTGGATGGGTGCCACGTATCATCAGCGAAGCCCGTCCACAATGCTTCAACACGCACAACAGCGGCATTTCTGTTTACCTGAACTGGGAATCATACGTACCAGATGTACACCAGGCGGTAGCTGGGCCGTAATCCGCTCCACACCTTATGGAACCACCCTTTGAGCCTAGAACGGCCACGAGGACCGTGCACCCCTTCTCCCAGCAACGATTTACAGTCTCCTGGAGTCAGTAATCAAGGTGCAGGGTATTCGATAGGTAGGCACCTTGTCAATATTCACACCAAACGCAGCTACACCGCGGACATCAAACAATCAACGCAGGATTCTAAGGGAACTGAATGCGCAAAATGGACTCGGAATATACAGTAGTATAACAGAACTGAACAAATTACATAAAGAGTACTACTCTTTATACAGGTTAGGAAAATCTATTCTATGCCGTTGTAGCCTAACTCTGGTGAGGAAGCATGATGTATTCAACATCAACCTCCGCATGAGGCACTACTTTGAATACGAAGGTATGTGAAAGCAAATAAACACGCAGCCGGCTAGTAACTATGCGGCAGAATGCCAGAATCGAGCAAACCATAATGTGTAGTAATTCTTATCTTACACGAGTGTATGTGCAAATTATGGGATCTCAACCGATTGACATCGACAATGAATGGAAAAATGACACGAAATAAACTAGGAATATGTTTGTCGGATGAAATAAACTGTACACAATTGTGGTGACAAATCATGATGTATGCAACTTCAACCTCAGCATGAGTTTTTACATAAATACCTAAATAAATCAATGGTGTATTTCTCGGTGGTGCGAGGCACAGTCAGACTATGTGGTCTATCAGTGTGTGTGACAGGCCTCAAGTCGATCCCAATGGGTCTCTATAATCAAACTCACGAGCTGGACTTGCTCCGCACCACCTTGTGGGTCAGGGTATTGAGCCATAAGCTCCGAGTGGAGTCCCTCAGTCGAACCTGCATATCACTCACTGCCTTGTGAGTTAGGCTCCGGGTGGCGTCCCACAAGCATTCATCCATGTGCCCCACTACCTTGTGGTTCAGGCTGTTGACCCAAAGGCTAGAGGCAGGGCACCTCAAACTAAACCCTTTTCCCGGAATGGGCAGCCGGCGATTATTACCTGCCCTCTCGACCATGTCGATAGTGCTCCCTCTTCTTCTTCTTCTTCTCCTATTTTTTCTCCCTCTCAACTCTCTTCCCCGTCTATTCAACAAGAATCTGCCGCTGACCTCACTGCTGCTACCATGGATACTTGGAACTCGTCCATCAAACCACGAGTCCCATTTCACATTGGTTCTTTTAATGTTCGTACTTAGGGTCAGATCGGCCAGCAGGCAGCACCGACTTTCACACCTCTCTTGGTATTGATGGGTGCTGTGTCTCCGAAAAGCGCATCCAAGATAACAGACTTATGACCGATATCCTACTCTCTGGTTCTAAATCTGACGACGGTGACTACAATCTTCGTATCTCTGGCGACACTGACTCAATGGCTCAAAGTATTTGCGGTATTGGCATTGCCTTCAGTAAACCTACTGAAGGTAATCTGTTCGACTGGCTACCGGTGAACAAAGGCATATGTGCGGTTCGACTTCAAACCTGTGTTGGAGTTAATAAGCAGCGTGTGAAGCCAAGATGTCTTGTCCTCGCCTCAGTTTGTGCCTCCTACTGAATACAGTACAGAGAATATAAAAGACGGTTTCCGTCACTAGCTATCATCTATTCTTCGCTTGGCAAAGAATACTGACATGGTGATTGTTGCTGAAGACATGAATACTCGAGTGGGTCTTCTCTCACTCCCCGAACAACACTTGGAAGGTCGCATCGGAACAGATGCAAGCCGGTCAGCCATTGGTGATCGATTCATGCAACTGTACACGGACTACAATCTCGAACTTAGCAGCACTGCTTTCCAGTACAAACTTTCGCACCGCGTCACCTGGAGTTCACCGAATTCATCAATGACCTGGACCCAAATCGACCATAATGCCATAAGCTACATATGACTTACATCAGTCCAAAACTGTTGGCCAATTCGGAGCACGTGCCTGAATTCCGACCATGCTCTAGTGCGCACACGCCTGATGCTCACTATTCAGACTTCAAAGAAGCGCCGATCTTGCAACCTTATCTGTAACTTGAACTCGCAGTCTGCAGTTCAACAGTATCAAGATTAACTGGCCCACCGAGTATCATTGATAAATGCGGTTAGTGAGCCGAACGCTGACTGAAATCGTCTCAGATGTGCCATAACAAATGCCCTAGACGTTTGCTGCGCACCCAACTAAAGACGTTGTAACTGTGCATGGATCTCTGAGGTGTCGACTAGCTTGACCGGAGCACGGGAACAGGTTCCGATGGACACTAAGTTTTAGAGTGTCCGTAACTCCCTGAAACTACGTTTGACAAGGAGTCTCCGAATCCACCGGGGCCTTGTTGCATGGCAAAGGCCCGTGAGCTGAAAAGTCTGTGCTATTGGATAGAACTGAGTGATATTCCAGCTCATCCGGAACACGGGTTCGTGGAAACCATCAGTTCGTGAAACAATAGCTGCGAAAGTCGAACAGTTAATCCCCTCAGCGTCGTCGACTAGCCCGTTGAGCGGAACATTTTGAAGAGGATTTCAACAGAAGGGCTGCGGCAGTGCCGCTTGCCGAATCGTCTGAGCCGACATAAGGAGTAGATATCACACATCCAACTTTGAAATAGATTCGACATGAGTTTTCTGTATTGAAACAATACAAGGTCCCTTGACCCACGGACCTTCTTCCATTTCTGCTAAAAGAGCGAGGGACTCTTTATTTCCTGGAATCGGTTTTCTCTTCAACAAGGTTTGGAGAAACCGAAGAGATTACCTCAGACTTGCGACTGTTAGCTGTCGTGCTCATCTTCAAGAAGGGTCAGCGTATTTTTGTGATATGCACCGAGGCATAACATTGTCTCCACTGCATCCCGACTTTTCACGAGTATCAATCCTCGATGACTTACTGGGCCCCGCAAGGTAGCTAATCATTACAAGCCAGACGAGCTTCTGCTCTGGTCGTTGTTGTATCGACTACATACATACTGTTTGCCAAGTAGTAGATCAGCGACACGCATACAGGCGACAGACAGTGGTTCTTTTCCAAGTACAGTCAAGGAGAAGCACCGATTAGTCAACACAACTGAATTGTATAAGTAGCCGGTGCCACTGTAAACTCTAACCTTGATCGTGTACTTCCATCACCTCGATCAAAGACGGTGACTGAGATTCCCACCTTTTCCCTTTCGGCCTTCGCGTAGTTTATGTCCCTGTGCCTTTACACATGAGCCTGTGTAGTTGTTTGACTATTAGAAACTCAGACGTCCGTATCGCGTAGTCTAGTATGACAAACAAATGTTATCAAGATGCGCATTGTAGTAAACCTTAGTCGATTCGATCACTACGAGACACTACGACCTAGACCGCTTCGGCGGTGCCACTAGCATCGCAAACTGGCAGCCCTACGAGGCTGACATCTTGGTGCACGCCTGACTCCTACATGCTGACTTTAGCAGCTTAGTTTAACAAACGCTGACTTTATAATGAAGATGGTGTACTAACAAGAATGAGAGCAGTAACATTAACCACGGTAGACCTGTCCCGCTACTGCGTTTCTCAGGCTTAACGTTATATTGAGGACGCAGTTCGTGTAGTTCTACAGGTTTACCATTCCAACACTCTTTTGAATAATGGCACTTAGCATCTGGGCAGGTGTCGGATTGGTCAACAGCCGTCTCGCCGACGCTTTCACCTTCGAAAACAGGTGTTCTACTGGGTTCAGCAAGTACGAGTGACAAGAACTTCAGCTGTTAAGGCGCACCAAGGATCCTCCCCAGATCATCCGACATGCGGATCCTGGCGTTTGTAACTTATCTGCAGTGTACATACGCCACGAGTTCTATGACTATCGAGAACTTTGCGCCACTGCAAGTGCCATCATCGATGATATTTGAGTGAATAGTGCCTTGATTATTCATTGCCTCAATCAACATCAACATGCGGCCCCTGACTGTAGGGAAGAGGACGTTCATGCGCGTCCATCCTCTTGAATGAGCATGTGTCCACGTCAGATGTTGGATTGAACCCACTCACATATATGTGGACACGCTTCCCTTTGTCGTGCAGAGCTTGTACCGAGTTATTAGTAGCGTAGGTCTGCCAGTTTGCGATGGTCGTGGAACTGTCGAAGCGGTCTTGCGCCTATTGGTACATCTTGAGAGTTATCTTTAGTCTCCTGAGAGCGTTGAAGACTGAAGATAGATGGATCCCGTTCTCGTCCAGCCGCCGCTGCAGCTACACCAGTGTCTTCGGAATGATGTTCAGCAGTTTCTTCAACGCGCTACAGGACATCGGGAATCAGGTCCTCCCTGTGGTATCTTCCACATTTGAGCTGCGTGTTCATGCCTCCTCTCCTGCAGTCACTGAAGATGTTTCGTTCCGTGCTCTTGTTGACATTGGTGACTTCAACAGCTTCGTGGGAGCTTTTGCCTTCGAGGAGCACAGGCTTAGTGAGGATCTCTTTCTGTGCCGGAGACGTTCGCTTTTACCGCCGCGGCCTCGGAGATGCGTTTTCAAGCCACTGGTCGCTCGTTTTGCTCTTTTCGTGCAGCACAAGGCTGATAGAGCTATGCTGTGTTTGGTGAAGTTGTAATAGTCTACACTGTTCCAATAGTCGTGCAGCTGCATAGGTTCACCTATACACCCACATAAACTACGAGAAGATCCATGGAGCGGCAGGGTAAACTGGGACAGCGGCTTCTATGAAGGTGAACGATGCCCATGATCAAGAGAAGAGATTGCGCATTCGCACACTGCTTGCGCAGTTGCATTGCATTCGCTTAAACACACTGGCCTGAACATCGTCTAGTCGTCTTACTCCGCTTTCTTTTACAACAAACGGCAGTTGCAGGCCAATAAAGCTTGTCTGGCTTTGGTGGAGTCATGATAAGCTACGCTGTTTCAATAGTCGTGCAGTTACATAGGGTCGCCCATGCATCCCCACAAACTATGCGAAGGCGCATAGAGTGTCTGGGAACTATTGGATCACCGCCTATCGACTTCATCAGTTTCGGTCCCAGTGATCGAATTGGCCAAGATTTATTACAATGCGCATCGCAATTGCGCATCGCTAACCATACACAAAACGGGTGCTTCACCTTGACCTTATAATTCTTGATAACAATTTTCAAAGTCCTAGCCTACGCGATTTGCGAGTCTGAGTTTCCAATAGTCAAACAGGTACACAGGTTCATGTGTAAGGCACAGGCACATAAACTGCGCGAAGGCCGATAGAGAGAGGGAGTGAAACTCAGTCAACGCCTTTGATCGAGGTGATCAAGGTTAGAGTTTGCAGTGGCACCCGCTACTTATACATTCCGTTTGCTTAAATGTGACTACAAAGTAGTCTAAACATCGACTAATCGCCTTACTCCTCATTTCTTGCTGGCAAATAGTTGATTTTCAGTTTAGGACGCAATGTATCCATTTATTTTTGATATTTTCTAGTTCTTTGAAGTACGTTCAATTTAGAGTGAATATATATATATATATATATATATATATATATATATATATATATATATTAGCTATTGATAGCTTTGATGTGGCTGTGCTTTCCATGGATGTTAACAAAGTGCCTACTTATCGATAAAACCGCCATGTTATTTATGATGACTCAAGGAGGCCGTTGGTCTATGCTGTGGTAAACGTAGCGCACGATCCTCCCGGTCGTGCTATGCTCGAAAACCAGTTTTATGGAATGTGGAACGGGCTACGACCTAGCCACTGGCTTGCGTACGTCTGGTACATATGAACTTACGAGTATTCATTAGTGCTACGGCGTATTTTCAAGGAATGCAGGCCTGCTCCGTTAATGAAATTTGTTTCCGGTCCACATGTCTCCCGGTCTTATTCCTTCGTTTTTACACTGAATATGGCTTGTGTGGACGGACCTGTGGATTGTGCAGCGCACGTCACCCATGATCCCTAGGTAGGCGCAGGGATATCCGGAAATGTATGATTCCATCCATATATATAATAAAATTCGGAGCATAGCATAATTGAGTTGCTTTCATTTCTTCTCTTCCAACCATGCATTGTGTCACAAGGACTGAGGCTTTTGTTGCCTCTGGCCAGCATGTAAAGTTAATGAATTAACCTGTTATCGCAGCGCTAGGAGTACCTTCATTCCATTTTCTGTCGTTTTAGTGTTTACAAAACAAAGTGGCTGAATTGGAAGGTGTCTACGCGGCACAGCCTTCCGTTCCGATGCCATCGAATTGGTGAGTTCAGGTTTGTCTGGCCTTCGCCTCGACGTCTATCCACATTACGTTCGCTTCACGTGCGCGCACTAATCGACCGGCGTTTTTGGGTGTGCACCATCACAATCGTCCTTGTATCCCTCGGCACTTAATGTTTGCACGCAGAGATTGTCCACATTACAGCAATAACAACGACGACGACCTGTTTTGTTTTGATGGAGAATGCGGAACAGAGCCGTGCGCAAGTCGTCGTCCACGTCCCGGTTCACCAGTCTGCCGGCCTCACCTTATTTGTAACTGTTTATCCATTGTGGACAATTAGAGTGGGTGCAGTTCACGAATTCTGTCTCCAATATTTCCAGACTGGCTACCAAGTGATCACGATAATTGTCTGTCCATATGTTCGATTTGGTGGAATTCACTCCTAGCCACATTGATTGCAGTTCTACGGGATCCGCTTGGTTTCAGGTCCGGTCTGACCTTCTGTGTTTGTCCACTTACCAGATTCGATGCATATCCCTTTGAATGCACGCGAAGCGAAATTCCATTACTGGACGCGTCATTTTGAGGCGCTCGTTGTCTGAATGGATTGCGAAGCGCAAACTCAAATTGGACCGCGATTCCCATTTAAATGAACGTTGGGCATTCGATCACTAGGCCAGTAGCTGATGAGGCAGTAGGAACTTGGGTGTTGCTCGCCCGAAGACACCCGTTTCGATGTTATTTCATCTCGTCAGATAGAGACAACAGGATTGTAACCCTTGACCTTTATGATGTTAGTTGGGACCTCTATTCATTCAGTCACCGACTCACGACAGGAAATGCTTGTCACAATGTTACTAAATGATTGGAGGGTAATTTTGAAGCACATGTTATGTGAATGGATTGCCACGCACAAGCACTGGGGCTGCAGTTCACATTTGTAGTGAACCTTGGTTAATTCGATCATTGGAACCGTGACCTAAACGTATGGGTTTTGGCTGACTTATCAAAGATCCCGGGTTCAGATGCCAGTTATCATCATTTGGCAAGATCAAACAATCTCATACTGGTCATAAAGTGCAGTGTTTTGTTGTAGGCAACACGCAAAAGCTATCCACAATTCACTTAAGTGGCAAGTCTTCCAAAATTTCTCACTAGCATGTCCATTTATTACGCTTGGTTTCTCCTACCAGCAAAATACCATCAGTAGCACGTGTACTGTTTCCACAATTGCCTCATTTAGGCCTCCAGCGCATCAGCTGTCATCGAATCACTTAGAAGCCGCTTTGTCTTCTACCTCAGTTTTCTGCAACGATGCTTTGGCCCTAATTTCATGAAACCAAGATAACTTGTCCGGCACTGGTGTTAGTTCTATTCTTCTTGCGTTTACAATAGCTGGCAAAAACTTTCCAGATATGTAGTACGCAGATTAGTTTCATATAATCTAATAATAAAAAGGTAAACTTTCTTCCATTCTAAACATTGTTCAGTGCTTTCAACCCACAAGACCCCATGTCAGCAGCTTAGCACAGCTCACAAGTCTTAAAAGTCGTTATACTCTAACTGTAAGGATACAACTCCGTCGATCTCACTGAAGATCGATGCTTTCTATGACTAGAAACGTGATATAAAGCGGCACTGGAGTGTTGAGTGATTGCTTGCTGCGTTTGATGATGATGCACCTTCAAGGACTATCGTGTTTCAGTGGGTTGCGGAATTTAAGCATGGCGGGTGGTCCCTGGATGGTAAGACACGATGTCGTCGACCTGTGGAGGACACCACCACGGACATTCCTTCTGTGAAAGCGATGCGGGAGGAGGACGTGCACGTGATTGTGGTACAACTGGGATCTCATCAGGATCAATCCGCACATCCCACATGGGAACCTCGGCCTTTAGAAAGATTTACACAAGGTAGGAATGCAATCAGCTCAGTGAGGACCAGAAAGCAGATCGGTTGAATTGGTGCCGCACCATCCTTGCCAGGTTTAATAGTGGAAGTGCCAATGCTGTTTGGGAAATCCTCAGTGGTGATGAGACCTTGATGTACAGTTTCGACTCAGAGAGCAAGCAACGGTCGGCTCAGTGTACGACTGTTGGTGGGGCGCAGCTTCGGAAATCCTGGCGTGCGCGCAGTGTGGCCAAGCAGTTGGTGGCTGTGTACGCGGCCAAGACCAGTGATTTGACTACTGTACCGCTCGTATGGTAACGCACAGTCACCGGAGATTGGTATGCTACTCATTGCCTACCACAAATGCTGGGAGTTGTAGCCAGGCGTCGTCCAAAGACTCGAGCATGAGGAGCGTCCCTGCACCAAGACAACACACCTGCACACCGGTCCCATATCATCACAGTTTTTCTGGCCATAGAACGCATCCAGGAAGTTGATCCCGGACCCTTCAGTCCAGACTTGGCCCCGCGTGACATTTTGTGTTCTCAAATGCCAAGCGCATGTTGCGTGGAGTCCGCTACGAGTTTCCGGCACATGCAGTAGTGGTCTTTATTGGGCTACTTGAAGGGTTACCCACTTCAGCATGGCCTAGCTGCTTCTCGAGATGGTTTGAGTGGACGGAACTGTACACGAACCCTGGTGGAGAGTACTTCGAGAAAATGTAATGTGTTTTGTTGTAAGAAATAAGACTTTTGCACACCAGAGGACTTAATGCCCTGCACTTGTAAAACACACCGACATTTTTTCGGCCTCAACTAATGAAGCACTACACACCTATACATTCGTTGCACTGCACACAGTTCAGTAGAGTTTACTGATACAATTTCGCTCGCAGCATCATAAGTTGTTAACCTATTTATAGAATTACATTTCCTGTGTTATTTGTCGTTGGAAATGACGAAAGTAACCGAACAGAGAAAAGCATCATGAGACGGGATTAGTAAAGAGGAGTACAGCTAGTTGTATACAGGTGGTTGGCAGCAGTTAACCGGTGACCAAATGCACTCACATTGTTAGCTCCACGAATATGTTGTGTCAGATGAAGTCTGACCAGTGAGATGTTACCGGTCTCCGATTCCCCAGAAGACGAGTGCCAACACTGAGGTGTTGCCGAATTCGGCACAGTAACAACTGACATAGCACGACGAAAAGCGCGGTTCACAATCAGCCGCCAGTCTTGTGCAGCAGCCATTTAGATGTTACCGAAAAACGATTTGCTGCCCTCAGAAATGACCACTCGGTGTCTCAAGAAACACGATTGATATTACCTAGGCGCGAACTTGTAAAGACAACCTTCCTCATTATATCCTCAATTCTCAGTGACTAGCTCTTCGGTCCATAAGTTTGCACTGTTCGCACTGCAGCGTTAAATTCAAGCCAATCCGAAAATGAGCTGTCTGCACCCACGACGGGCGAATATTCAGCTGTGACACGCACAGCAAAAAAGAATGAAGTACAATACGTTTGAACACAGCAACATGGTAAATGAATGGCAAGGATAACGATACAGCTACGGTAAACTCCTAAATGATTAAACCACGATCGCGCAAAAGGCGTGCAAGATGTGTGCCGACATTTGTGTAGTAAACACTTGTGCGAGGATAAATGGATTTGTACCTCCGCTTGATTATCGGGGCGGATACGCTATCAGAGAGTACACCATGAAGGATGTGACTTGCGTCAGTGAGTATTTGTGTAGCAAGCCCTCTGCAAGAACTGTATTGCTTATACACAAAACTGTCAACGTAGGTCGTCTTTGGAAGGCCACTACGTCTTGACATTTGTTTCAATGACCTGTCCAAAGCAACCGCTGTTTCTGGTCACCCTAAAGCATTAGCAACTGCAAAGAAAAATGAACTCTTCCTTTCGGGAACTTGTCTAGAAGTTACTGAACGAAAGCATGTCGGTCGCTGTGACCCAAACATATCCATCCGCTAGAGTCCAGCTTCTTGCCAAAACTTTTCCGCTCATCACCAAACTCTTTAAAGACAGAATTCCAACACTTCCCGAATCCTTTGTTCCACATCAGTTTACTGCACCTGTGGTGCTAGGCACCTCTGATACACTGCCAGACGTCTGCTCAAGATGCTAGCGCAACAGGGTCCCGTATATTTACATGGCACGGTTAAGAATGTTCACAGTTCTATCCTTAAGTATCTGATCGGTACTAAGCATCAGGTTCGAACCGAAGACGCATTCAGCGTAGTTTACGTCTTATCGAAACGCAACCTCAACGGAAGCGCCTGTTGGTCGCTGCCAAAGCAGTGACAATCAGACTACTGCGATCAGAGTTATGCAAGCAGAAGACGCTTGTGCAAACTCACCCTGCCTTGGCCAGGACAGTGCACTCCGTCCGTATCTAGCAGTTACCGCGGCTGCTTGTGAGCTTTGTTGCCCCAAGGACCAATTCATTCTTGCTTTGTGTGTGTGTACTTGACTGCCAACTGGTTGGCTTTTATGACCTATCGACCTTTCTTTAAACTGTTATTCAACCAACCACTACCCTAGCTTTATGTAGCCCCTTGTGTTTTACCAACCATTTACCATTAGGCGATAATTCACGATCTTGGAACCACACGATAACGTTACTGAAATGGTCTCTAATTTGTCTGTCGAGGCTATGGTCAAATGTCGTTCCATCAGAAACAAGTATTAGGCTTGCGTAAGTAGAACTGAGCTATGTTGAATGGATGGCTCCCTATTGTACACCGCTAGCTGTGATGAACAGGGATATGCTGTGTACGTCTATTGTAATAGACCCTCAGCAGCTGGACAAAAGGAGCTTGGATTCTCAAGTTATGTGGCAATGAAACATTAGTCCGATTTGCTCTTGCAATGCCGCTGATGATGTTGATTATTTTTATTGCGATTTTGACGACGTGACTCCAGTTATCTGAATTCACCGAATCTTGCCGATCCACTGAACTCAGTTTCCCCTTGAATGTACTTTTCAAACCGAACACACCTAATGTATCTCCTGCAACCAGCAAACATTAACTAAGTGCCGGGGAACCTGAGCGTTGGTACACTTATTGTGCAAGCTAGAAATGCCTTCTTGAGTATGCAACATCTGTTGAGTCAGAAAACGTTTTCCCTCGGTCTTAAATCTCATGTTTACAAGGCCACTGTGGAAATGATACGGGGCCCTTCGGTCAAGTGTTTGATCATAGCCGCTCGCGAAGCATTGCTAGAGTATCTGCAGTGATGATGTGTATTAGCGAGTGCGTGGCAATGAAACCCAAGCTAGAACAACGGATTGCCCTAAATAAGTGGTTGCAGTTTTGCGATAGGCTCGCAACAAAACTCCTCTGCTTGTAATATATGCAGGCTTGATACACGCGTTAAAGCTATGCAAGCATACCTCCGCAATCTCTTACATGATCAATGTTTAAAGTTAAACGCTTAGTTTGCAGCAGCAACTCCTCTTCTTTTAATGTATGTATGTGAAGAATGCCCGAGTTAAGGTAGCGCGGGCTGCCGTCGGCGTTTTCGGTCTCCAATATATTTTCCAAGTACACCGCTAAAATCGCATCAGCTACTCCTCTTCTAATATACGATTGAGAATGACATGCTTTAAAAAAATCAGGCATCCAACGGCGTTCGTATAATTTAAAAAATAAATGAGGCTTGGCGCTAAACTTCGGATGCAAGTTCCTATCTACTATTATAGGGATGGGTTTACATATAAGTAACACAGGCAGCATTCACAGCCTTCTCGGGCTCTAAGCTTGCAGCATCAACTCCTTCTATTTTATGAATGAGCCTAAAAAGTTTTTAAAAGCTTGCAGCCAATTACATTTTCGGACTTGAAAAGGATTTCAAAGATTACCACTTAGCTTGCAGCAGGAAGTTCTCTTCTTCTAATATATAAATAGGCATGATACACGAGCTGAAGAAACACAAGCATACCACAGCTTTCTCGGGCTTGAACAAGCTTTTGTACTTTATCTCTAAGCTTACGGCTGCAATTCGTCATGTTCTAGTGGATGAATTGCCTAATACAGGTTCTGCCTTTAGGCTGTACTTTTTCTTGATCCTAGCGACGCACACAGCGAACAGTCAGGGATCGCTGTGGCTAGCTTTTAAACATGCTTCTTTGCGAGTTTCCATCCATCGTACCAAAACCAATCAGTGCCGGGAATGCTTTTGTCACTGACTTCGTGCGGGTACTTCTGTCTCCACGTCTATCGTTATAACGATGGCCGATTATGGCAGGTTGGCCTGATATTCCAACATTGGTGTGGCAACTCAGGTCTGTCGTGTACTGTGTGTTCATACAGCGTCAGTACACCAGTACTGAGGATGCAAGCGTTATGGCCTGGTATTTCGTCATCAATGAAGCGTTCACACCCCTGTGGCCGGGTGAAGAAAATTTAGAGAGCAGCAA